CAAAATGCCCATCATTGGCACGGACCTACTTAATCATCATGATTTACTCGTAGACGTCCGCCGAAAACGACTGATTGACAATACTACAAATCTGTCTAGCAAAGGCACCACCTACATAGGCCCCAGCTTGTCACTTTTTAAGTTGAAGGCAATTCTTGATCTAACTCTTTCAACCGATCGTTGATAAATATCCGGAACTTAACTGCCCGTCTAATGACCTACCTCGCATAACCAGCAATGTTGTGAACCATTTCACAAACTCAGGACGGCCCGTGACATCTAAAGCTCGGTGACTTTCTCCTGACAAACTGAGACTCGCTAGAAATGAGTTCGACCATATGCTCACCCTTGGCATCATTCAGCCATCGATTAGCCCATGGGCATCCCGACTGCATATGTTACTGGAAAAGAATTGGCGACCCACCGGTGATTACCGGCGAGTGAAAGCCGAAACAACCCCTGAACACTGTTTGTCGCCTCACATACACGAACTGACGGCAACATTATCTGGTGCAACTATATTCTATAAAGTCGACCTGGTTAATGCGTATAACCAAATCCCAATGGCATCAGAGGATATTCCGAAAACATCCATCAATACGCCTTTCGGACTTTTCGAATTTCCATGTATGCCGTTCGGTCTCCGGAATGCAGCCCAAACATTCCAACGCTTCATCGACGAAGCATTTCGCGGTCTCGACTGTGCATACGCATATTTAGACGACTGCCTCATTGCCAGTCCAGACAAGGAAACTCACCTTAGACATTTGGACTTGGCATTTGACAGGTTACGCCAACATGGTGTTACCATTAATATTCAAAAGTGTCAAATCGGCGTTGACTCACTCGGCTTCCTGGGCCACACCAGTGACTTCAGTGGTATCCACTCACTGGCTTGTAAAGTCGAGGTGATACTAGACTTTCAAGAGCCACAGACAGTGAAAAGTCTTTGCACTTTCAACGGCTTGGTAATTTATCACCGACAGTTTATTCCCAACTGTGCCTCTTCGAATCAGCCACTGACTGACCTTCTTGGAGGGAATAACAAGTCCATCGAACTTGACGCGTCTGCTCGAAATGCTTTTTACTAAGGTTAAAAAAGCTGTTGCAGATGCCACACTTCTAATGTATTAGGATCCAATGGCGCCGTAAAGTATCTCGGTTGATGCATCAGACACTGCAATCGGCGCAGTTCTACAACAGCTTGTTAACAGAGAGTGGCAACCACTAGCCCTTTTCTCGAGGCGCTTTCAATTAGCAGAAAAGAAGTACAGTGAATCCGGCAGAGAACTTCTGGTTATGTACTGTACTATACGTCATTCTCGAAATCCAGTTGAGGGTCGTGAATTCAAAATTTTCACTGAGCACAAACCTCTGACGTACTTTCTCAATTCGACTTCAGATAAGTATTCACCCAGGGAATCACGACAACTGGATTACGTTTCACAGTTTACATCAGATATTCGCCATGTATCCGGAGTGAACAGCGCTGTGGCAGATGCCTTGTCGCGCGTTTGTTCCCTCACTCAAATCGACGGCATAGACCTTGTGAAACTGCCTCGTCTTCAAAAGGGAATTGATTGGTCGTATTTCGGCAGTAGAGGTTTAAAATCAAGTGGAAAAACTGGCGTTTTCTCCTCTTAAGTTCTGCCATGAAAAAGTGCAGATTGAGTGGCTGTATTAGATCGTCCAGCAAGGAATGTGTGGCAAAGCGAATTACTACTAATAATCATATCAACACTTTTAGCAACACATTTATTGGTAGTGCAGAATTCTCGGAGTTGTGCGTTACGAAAACTCCCGCTACTGTTTTATCCCTCAAAAAAGTGATTTTAGAGGCTGATGGTATAGACGCTCGCGTATCGTACGGAGTATAATAACGCAAGATCTTATACCAACACCTACAGTATTCCTTCCCCGTGGAGCAAAGGTGAGGCAAAAGACACCATTTGATCGTTCAAACTACGAGATATATTTCGGGACCAAATCGCAGACCGAGATGAATGCTTAGCTTGCTAGTGATCGTGAACGAACATGACACGACGGAGTACCAAATGGCGTGGATGCTATACCGGTAGCCTTCAGCCAAACAACTTGACTTAAATAGTAAGGGTCAGCAACCAATGTTCACTAACAATTTCTGTGGTCAATAATTTTGGGAAATTATTTACCGCTAGAATAGATTTGGAATGGTTACAAGATTATTTTTCTATCAAACAATATATCAGATAAACCTGGGAGATACCTTCAAAACCCCAATTGTTTTGTCGCAGAATGTCAGTTTTTCTAATGCATTATTTTCACTTTTGACTTAAGTCAAATTCGAAATTTTAAATTTATTAGAACTTTAATGTGTAAAATTGTAATCATCGTTTCCGTGGCGTGAGATTTGCATCGGCTGTCTCCATTGCATGTGGCATAGATAACTGCCTTTCTGCATACCATTTGGCCAGTCCATTGAGTCAGACGGTAGCACAGCCATGCTTTAGGTTTATCAAGATAGATAACTGCACATAAATCTTGTGAGCTCGAAACCGCCCACGCAGCATGAATTACTGGTGTCCTAATACATGTCTGTTAGATGCATTCGTCTGCACTTTAAGTAGATGGTCTTTGTAGCCAGCATAAATTCTTTTTCAGGAGGCAGGCCCACTAAAACGCATAAGATTTTCTAAGAAAGTGACGCGGTGTCAAGTTTTGACTTAACAGAATATAAGTCCTCACAAACACAGGTTGCTTTCATCTAAGCGTACTGGAAAGAATTTATGCTTCCCAAGACGCATGTCTTGTAGAAAAGGCCTTGACTTCAGCAGAAAAATTAACGTCGTGGTGGATAGGCCTTATTCTGACGAAAAGACGCTGCCACATATAATCAAACATAAACACACCAGGTAGAACCTGTATACGCCTTATCAGTACGGACAAATCAGGTCAGCAACTGATACAGGTGGCGAATAGAATTTTAAAGAAATGTGCTGATATTTTAAGTAACCCACTTACAAGCATTCTCAATACTTCTTTTTCTAATAATAATGTACCTTCTCTGTGGAAAGATATTAAAATCATCCCTGTACCCAAGTCTGGTTCTGGAGATAGTGTTAAGTTTAGACCAATTGCCATTACCTCTCCTTTCTTGAAACTGATGGAGAAATTACTCTTACAAAAACTCATTCCCTCCCTAAGCTTCTCAAATGATCCAAAGCAGTTTGCTTACAAACAGGGTAGAAGTACTTTGGATGCTGCTGCTGTGTTTCATCACAACATTGTATCCTCCTTAGACAAAGGGGCCAAGTATGTCCGTTGTACTTTCCTTGATTACACATCTGCTTTTGACTCTGTACCTAGAGGCCTTTTGTTAAACAAGCTTAGCCTTACACAAACTGAGTCCTGGGCTATCAACTGGCTGCACTCTTACTTCTCCAATAGGATGCAGTACACGGTATATAATGGTGTAGCTTCCTCTCCTTTGCTTACTGAAGCTGGTGTTCCTCAGGGTGCTGTTCTCTCGCCGTTTCTCTTTTCCTTCTTCTTACATGACTTACCTCTCTCAGACGAAATCAACTTCGTCAAATATGCAGATGACCTGACTGTTTCGCTTCCCGTTAAGTCTCAGTCAGACTGCTTCAAATTAAATAGCTTCCTGTCGGACATCAGTCAGTGGTCTAAAATAAATGGCCTAACGCTGAATCCCTCAAAATGCCAGACTGTCGACTTCTCCTTTAGGCATAAACGAGATCTACAAACACTAGTAAGCACTCATGATGTCTGTAGAATCGAGGGGACTATAATTGAAACAAAGTCTAATGCAAAATACCTCGGATTAGTTATATCTTCCGACCTTACTTGGTCATCTCATATCCAAATGATTTCCAAGAAAGTGTTTCGTCTAACCTACTACATTAAGAAACTCAGACTAACTGGAGTCCCTCAACCTCTGCTTTCACAATTTGTCAACTCTCGTATCCTACCTATTCTACTTTACTGTTCCCCGTTAGTCTTTCCTGGGTTACTGAAAAAGGATTATACCATCCTGAGAAGGATGTTGAAGGTAGTTAGCAGGACTAGCGGTGTAAAACTCAGTCAGCTCGTCACAACATTAGTGGATAAGCATCTGAATACATGTGAGAAATGGTCTAAAACCATACTCTCTGACCCCCAACACCCCCTCTATTCCCAACTCTCTCCCTGCATCTCATCAGGTAGAACCAGAAATCAGTATAAAATAATATATGCTCGCACAACCAAGTATAGGAACTCAACGATACCATATTTGGCCCGTGTTCTAAGTGACAGAGACAATGTTAGGCGTGAAACCTATGACTTGCTTTGTTGTTAATAACATAATTTTGGCCCTTGTTTTTTTCCCCCTTACACTCTCTTATTTGTACTCTATAGTGAACAACCTTCTTAAACATACTTAGCTGCTTAAAATTATTATCATTGGCTTACATTTTTATTCTTTATTCTATTCCTTCTTTGTACATCTACTGGGTCCGACTATATTATCACTATGATTATTAAAAATTGTCCCGTCATTAACCATCATGTAACATTAGTTTTGTGGTTGTTCTTTGTTCGGCACTATTTAACTGACAATCTTGTTTGTTATTGCCACTATCACCATCTTAAAAATTTTGTATTATGCATGATTCCTCACACTACCACTACAAACAACCGCATTAGTACTGACAAAAAAAAACCTGAAATGTTTATCTTATGATTGCTTAGTGTTGTTCAATCAAATTAACTGATCATCTTGGCTATAAACATTTTTTTAAGAACATCTCATAATTTCCCGTATGATTATAGCTGTTACTGTTCACCACGCATACACATATCGTAGCTTCCACTAACTAATACTGAAATATTTTTTTCATTATTTGTGTTGATCTTCTTTTTTTACTCAGTATTTTTATTTGCATTTTTTTTGGTTATTTCTGTTTCTTTTTTTGTTTTTGTTTTATATTTTATTTTTTATATAATACTCCTTTTAAATGTACGATGAAATTAGATGCAATATTGTAGATATGTGCTGAAAATTCCACACTGTACCACAAGTACTGTTTCTGGAATAAAGCGAAATTGTTATGTTATGTTATGTTATGCAACTGTAGTTAGAGAGAACATGTTTTGCCTAAGGGTAATACACTCATTCGCTGAAAAATACCAAGAAGATAAAACCTATAAAATTCGAACTCCTTTCAGAGCAAGGTTTTAATAAACACGCCGCACGACTTTGAATTAGTCGTCACCATAGCATCCTGAAGGTCATCAAAGGCGGACGTTTTGGTGTGGAGAAGTTTGCGTATGATTTTGGATTGCTTACATAAATAGAAGACTTAGTGTTACCTTGACACTTCACACAGTCTTGACTTTCTAAAAAGATATCTTCACATCTCCCAACCTACGAAGCGTCTTATATAGATATATCGCAGTGTTCCCTCAAGTTACATAGTAGTCTTGGGAGTACATCACTTCAGTAGTTTCGTGGAGGAGATGGACTAGTTTGACCTAGAAAGTCCTTTACGTTTAGAAACACAGCCTTTAAGTCTACTTGGCACAATGGATGATTTGACTAAACCAGCTGACTTCAAGTTTTCAGTAAGACACATGAAAGTTTAATTTAGTTTTCAGGTTCAGGGTACTAGCATCAGAAACTACGGCACGCCATCCAAAGATATTTGTTCAGTCAATCGTCTTCCAAGGCATACTGATTCTCCTCTTCCTTACTATAGAACATCAATCAGTTTGGGGCCGGTAAGTTATTTTTATATTTTGTGTAATATTTATTACTGTGAAGTATTCACCTAATAAATGAGTCGTTTCTCATACCATCAAGTGTTTGTACAATCAGTTATATAGCGTTTGGTTGCCACATGACTATGTGTTTCCATAGTTTTTTCTCTGAAATCTAGGACACCACTTATAAATTTTATGGTTTTCGTTGTTATGTATCAATTCTGGCACTTTTAAAGCCATTATGTCTTTATGTTAGGTATCCTTCTTAGCGAACTTAATTTTCAATTTTTTGAGGAAGTAATTATGTAGGATCGTTAACGTACTTCATATTGTTTAAAAGCACTATAATCTAGTTCCCTTCCCTTTTATATCGCTTCACATACAGAGAGTTGCTGTGATTTTCTACTTGCTCCTTTTTATTCCTGACCCCTCATATTTATTTCCTTCCATATTAGACTAATTTTGCTTAGGTTGTGGTTTGAGACCCAGTGCTATTCTATACTGTTAGCTGAAATTACATATATATATATATATATATATATATTAAGTAGCAGTTATGTTCATCGGTTAATTATTGCTGGGAATCTGTCTGAAGGAGGGATTATTTTTATTCCAATGTGATTTACGCATTAGATTCCAGTATGGATGATAATAACAGTAATTTTATTCACGAAAGTATAAAACTAGTTGTAAAATACTGTAGAAAACAGTGTGAAGAGTATATATGCTTGTGAAGCACTATTTCACACTCTGAACCCTAGGGGATAATAATACAATGTAAAGCGATTATTCGAGAGGCTATTGTGAATGTAAATTCGAGTTGTACACGTATCATCTCTGGAAAGTCAGACCAAACTACTGTTGCCACCTCTTTTTGATAAATGCCAAATCTTTGTTCATATTCTTCTGGTTAGTTTCGTCCAAATAACATGGCCATCCGTTTGCAATTAAACGCTTTATATCAAGCCGCTCTCTTTACATTACAACATTTAGCATACACGTGCCTGTTTTTAGTTTTAGTGGCTGTAGTTGGGTGTAATAAACTATTTGTTTGGCCGTTTAGAATATACCTGAATAGAGATGTGTAAGGATTTTCTCGCAAAGAAATGCTTGACTCTATAAAGCTTACTTGTGTGGATTCCTTGGTTATTATTTTCTACGCCTTGTTCACTGCCCATTTAATTTTGGGAATTACTAAAATTATCTCGAAACAAACCTATCATTATTCCCTTAGTAGTAAGACTTTATTCATAAGCATATTGAGTTCAACTTTAGTTTTACTGTTTGTTGTACTAGCTATTAAATTTTGTTTTTTAATATTCAATTCAGCTTATTCCTTTTGTTTTGAAATATTACAATAATGAAATCCCTGCAATTAGGAATTCTTAGTGATAGTCCTAAGGCTTGCTCTATCGCCTCCCATTTTCAGGATTAGTTTTATAACTGTCTAGCCAGTTAGAGTCTAAAATAATTGCATGGGTAGGGCATGAACACTGCAGTACAGAGTAACTTCATGTTAAATTAGTCAGGCTGGAAAAAAGCTAGCGGCGGTCAAACAAAAACTTGGCACCAGTCAATGAAATCCACAACAGTTGGTCTAAGCCACGTAGGAAGGTGTAGACTTCCAGGCTGGGGTCCTCGGGACGGCAAAAATCTATGGTTGGAAACAATTGGTGACATGGCTCAAAATCGTTCTCAGTGGCGCAGATGCATCCACTCCCTGTGACTTATGATCTTCAATGAAACTGTTTTGTATTTATTTATTACTCCTTTGTCTCACACCTCTGCTCACTGTTTCTATTATGCTTTTCTTGTACTTTCTTCTCTTGCTTCGCGTGCTACACGGAATGTGGCGACTTGAACTTCCGCACATTTGTGCAAAGTTCTATGTCGAAAACAGACAGACAGACAGACAAATTAGTTTGAATAACATAAATCATAGCGATGCTTTTTTCTAGGATAAATGACTTTCCAAGCCTAATTTTTTATTTACAGTCGCATTAGGATAATCATACAACTTTCTGGTTTAATCGATATCTCGCCGTTGCTTTATTTTTTCCAACTTTACCAACAACATTTTTCACGTATTGTTAATTACCGATACACTGGCTCTACTATTTATGTTTGGTGTCATTTTCGCGAATAGGAACACAATGAATACAACTTATCTCTCTTAAATGTTTATTTACTTATTTAATGTGTCACTTGTATGATTTTTATTCTGTTTTCTTTGGAGTAGCTTTTACGTGTACAAACTGGAATTATTTAAGGCAGTGCTATAGGAAGTATAATTGATTTTTATGGGTAGCACTGTGTAAAATTCGTTCTATAATCTTATGTGGAGAATTCATTCAGTTTGTTTTCTACCTTCCATCTGTTATGGGTCTTTATATAAAGCCTATAGAATTTTGAGATTGTAGCATAGCCTCTACACTGTAAAACTGACTTTGCATTTGACAAAACAAGGATGTTGAGTTGGTCTATGGACATCGAATCCTCATTGTGTTATATGTCTAGCCAATTACAACCAGAGGAGAAGCTTGTTGATCTAGAGAATAAAGTTAAAGTACTTTTAGCCGGTGAATGAAGTTTATGTAACGTTCCAAGAGAGCAGTGGAATATACTTGGCATGCGTTTCACTACTGAAAAATATTAGACAGTGTAACATGATTTGTTTGTTAAGCTGTATTGGTGACTTGATGCATTTGAGACAGTTTTATCAGCCTCAGTTTACTGGTTGCTGATGAAATCCTAATACTCTTCTGCTTGTGTCATCTTTGACGATATCCGTTGATACATCAGAATCTAAATTTTTGTCTACCTTACTTTACAACTATGAGACGTGGCTACTGAAAGCAGAAGATACAAAACGTTTATTTATACTCGATTTTGTCTGTCATCATTTAATTATTTGCATTAGAGAAAACAATATCTTAAGCAATGTTGAAAATAAAAGAAGTATTAGGTTAGAAAATTGATTCACTCTATGAGTTTGTGAATCTTAATCTGTTGAGATGGCTGCGACGTTTGTTACAGGTACTGAATTACCGCCTACGTCGACGATCTATGTTATCTATATTGGAATTATGTTAACGCAGAGGTGTGTATGGTCAGATCGAGTCATGACATCATTCTATAAAGTCATTGGTCGTTGGTCTGAATCAGAACGAATTCATATGTTGGTTGACTGGGATACTTACATTGGTAGGGATAAGAGGTTGGAGACTATTGGTGGATGGTTAGAAACTGTTCACAATAACACGTTCTGTCGCATTCCAAATATTGAGCATCACAACAATTCAAAACCATCCGTAAGATGTATGTTTTCATCTTCTATCAGGTGTCTAGATGAATATTTCACTTCACAGCTTAAGTTAAGGACTGATTAATCCGTCTCACGACTTCGTTGTTTTTATGTTTAGTTTAATCTATTTCCACTGAAAAACATAAAAAGTGGAACACATGTGGTGGTATCCCTATAAGTTTCTTTTAATATTCAAATGTCAATTTTGTTGATATTTGATTGATCGATGTCGGTTCACGATGAAATCTGTGTTGTGATCCCAAACCTCCTGAAGTAATAAACATGTTTTTCATGCCTATTTTATTTTAGAAGACAGGCTCCTCTCTATGGAATCACTGCTCTTCAAGTCCCACTACCTATGGAAATGATAGAACAAATAACTTAAACAGTCGGTTTTCAAAACTGGAACTGAATGAGACCACTGAACCGGAGAGAAAGTTGTGCAATGGTTACTACATAAATTGTAATTCTACTGAGAGTTTAAAGTCAATAGACAAGCGTGAATCTTCAGAGACTGATAATAGTAGCAATAATAGCAGTTCTTTACGTTGGTCAAATTCTTCATTAGCTAGTCCATCTCGTATACCAGTCACTACTTTGCCAATTGGAGTTCATCATTCATTCCAAAGAGGTGGACTTGTAGGTCTCAATAATCTTGGAAATACCGTAAGTATAGTATCATTTAAATTTATTTTATCACGATAAAATTCTGTTTGTAATAAGTAAAGGTTTTGGAATCTAATAAGAAAATCAGTGGAAAGACTTTCTGAAGAGGTAAAGTAGACTATATAGTGGCAGTAATCTTTAGCGAAGTTTTCCACAAAGCCAGAAAGAATAAAGTAATAGGAATAAAAGCTGTTTATATCGTGGAAAATCGATAACAAGTTAGTTTTTCCTTTACATTCCTGGTAGAACATAGGGCCTCAAGCTAGAGCTTTGAAGTTTGGGTAGCAGTGACTGGTTTTAGTTTTACGAGGTAGGGTTACTAATCTCATGCCTAGCTTTCCTCCTTTACCGGTCTTATTACCTCTGCTTAGCGAGGTGGAGCAGCGCATCGACGGGGGATCGAAACCCAGTAATTTAGACGGAGAAAATACATTTTGATAAGTTAGTTGACTAGTGGTTCAGTTACTGGTAGATAGTTTGTAATTAACATTCACCAAGGAATTTACCGTAAAACAAATTCTTTTGTTCGTGTATAAGGTCTCTTGTAGTGAGAGTTCTCAGGAAAACACAAAAATATAGATGAGAAAAGGGGAGAAAATAGTGTTCTGAATTTACCTGTTTGGTAGTAGCTAGCGGTAAAATCCAAAATATGTGCTTCGTTTTATTTGAAGCTTGTCGTTCAGATTTACTTGCATCTCGATAAGCCGTGGTGTCCCCTCCACCTTGTAAGTCAAACATAACACCTGTAGTCTTAGAATATAAGGCGTTATCTAAAAGGATACTAAGCTATGACAAACACCTCTTTTCCAACAAGTATGATAGTTTGGAATGCTTGACAAACTTTGCTAGCTGCCTCAATCCATAAAGGTTTGCAAATGGGTTAGTTGATTCTGTCTTAAATATATATGGGTTGTGTCAATCTGTCCCATACCGCTCATCTGTTAGAAATTATTTCTTCAATATTGGTATTTAAACTTTCACTAATTTAGTAGTTATAGATTTTGTGGATTTGTTAACCGTATCAACAGAATATTTAAAGCGGATTCTATGGTCACAGTTACGTCTCTGCTGTAAGGCTTATTGCTGAATAGGGAAGCAGATGTGACTTCGTGATAACTGACTCGCAATGTCTAATGCAGTTTTTATCATTTAAATAGTGACGCAAACAACTGTGCAGTTGTAATTACTATTAAGTTTTGCAAAGGTGAAACATTTCATTACATGGTATACAACATTCGACAGTTGAAAAAAGTCAATAACAAAGAAGCTCATAAAGATTGCGTTTTCAGAGAACGATAGGAAGTGCTAAAGATTAATAAGTGTCTAATGTACGCTCTGTGATATTACTGAAGGCGTTACGTAAGTTTTGTGTATTAAGAATGTTAACTAATAAAAAAAGAAAGTACGTCAGTTGTTTACTGGTAGAATGACCACCAGTTATGAGGCCCACGCACTATTAAATCTCGCTTAGACACTAGTATACCCTAGAAACAGGGAAGATTAGGTGTGAATCTAGCAGTTCTATTCCATAAAAGAGAACATCGCTGCTACTGTAACTTCAAAGTTCAGGCTTGAAATATCTATGTTCTGTTTGGTAGGCAAAGGAATAGAGGAAAATACAAAAGGAATAACACTTTTAGCATTTCTTGCATTGTGTTATACAATATGGATTTTTATGTGGTATTAATTTTATCACTTGATAGGTAAATCTTACAAAAACAAAAAGCACCTTAAGCTGTGTTAACCACACATTATTATCTATCATACTACGCAATGTTTTAATGGATTCGGAACTCAACATCAATCACCTCATACACTACAATGTCAATCAGTAGACTCATTAACTCAAAGCTCAATGAAATCGATGGCAAATGATTGGCATAAAGAAATAATGTAATACATGTCTAGGATAGCAAACAATATTTTGAAGGGATAAACCTATCTGATTCGACTTATGAACTAGGTATTACAGTTAATACGTCCATACACATCTATGGAGTAGATGTTTTTTCCTATTATTGGACTTTTTAGCAATGCACACTTACGACACTCCACCAGGAATTAGACTCTAGAACTTTAGATTTCGAGGCCAAGTTTGTTGACTAATCAGCTACCTGGTCCGTGAAGTAGCTACAATAATTTAATTTCATTTATTTGAAGTGTTAAAGTCCAGTAGTGAGGATATTTCCAACTTCGAGTAAAACCTCAAATTTCGAAAACTGAGCAGCCTCTCAAAGATATATATATATGATTTTGTTTTTATTCTTTATTTCAGTGTTTTATGAATTCGATTCTACAGTGTTTAAGTAACACAGCTCCCCTAACAGAATATTGCTTAGAAGATCGATATTTGAAAGATATCAATAAGTCAAGTTCCATGAATGGTCTCTTGTTTCGATGTAAGTAAAATTCTAGTTTGATTTCATTGGCTAACAAACTTTTTCTGTTATATAATGCCATGCTACTTATGAGTTTTTGAGTTTATAGCATTTCATAGTCAGTTTTGATGGAAGATGGTGTCCATAAAAATATAACTATAACTTCATGACATCGTTCAGTCAGATGCTGAATATAAGGAATTCTTTTCATAAACTATTAAATAACCAGCAGGATTGAATAGCTATTCCTTCCTAATTTGCGACTATCTAGTAGTATCGATTCCCCCATCTTATTTAGGATCAATTATGTAACCTTCAAACATAAGAATGAGAGCCTTACATTTTATCTTATTGGATCAAGCCATGTCTCGTTGAATTTATTAGCCACAGCTCTGTATTGGAACTTCCGGAGATCTGTCACAATATTTTAAGGGAATGTTTATAGAAAAATAAATAATCTTGGTGGGGTTTAAAAAGAGTTCAGTGATGTATTTTTTTGATTTGACACTAGTCATTAACTATCTTTGGTGCAGACTGAATTCTATCAGTCAAGTTTGCAATCAAAAATATCCAATACAGTCCTACAGGAGGTCAATCTCGAGCCTGAATAGCTCAGTTGTAACTTCTCTGACTGCAACACTGTGTGACGCAGGTTCGAGTCTCACAAGGCCATGAGTTCCTTCGAGGTTGCATATACGTCTTGCTGACTGGTGAGTACCAACTAGCAAGAAACCTAGGTCAGGAAAGGCTTCTTTTGGCCGATTGCCTTCAATCGTCTAATACCAACAGTTCAGTGATGGGCTTGATACACAGTTTATGTTATATGGGTCAACTAATAATTTATTTTATCCTGGTGTATTTAAAAAACTTGATTATTTTGCATGATATCCAATTTACTTGAAATTTTTGCTATTGTTATACATCTGTTTAGCTTATGCTGATTTAATGAAAGAACTCTGGGATCCTGATATGGCTAACTCATCAACTAGTCCAAGCCGTTTCAAAAGTCAAATTCAACGTTTTGCTCCTCGTTTTATGGGATATGCGTAAGTTTTCTGTAGTTTGGTTTGTAAGGGTTGGTTATGTTTTTACGAGTTGATCACAGATTGATATCAGTCCAGGGAGTACTGGACAACTGCTGTTTCATCTTAGTTTGGGAATCATCGGCAGTACCCACCCCCTGGGATTCGAACCCAGGAAGTTCTAGTGAGAAGTCGTGACCAGTGAGGTCCAATTAGATGCCACGTGTGTGGATGGATGTCCTACCAACGACAATGGTTGGCGTCGCGCTAAATCACAAATTGGTAGAAGTTAGAATTCATGAGCCATTGACTCGGGTCCCAGTGGCTGAATGGTATACGAGCTTACTGGTCTTGCAACCGAAAGGTCCTGGGTTCGAATCCCAGTGGGTGCGTACTGACGATGATTCCCAAACTAGAATGAAACAGCAGCTGTCCAGTACTCCCTGGTTTTCAATGGTTCTCTAACTGATATCAATCCGTGATCAACTCGTAAAAATATGCGTAAGTAATTAATATCCATTGTTTATTATATTTATACAAATTAAAAGGGATACATCTTGCATTATTTAATATTTCCTGAATAATTAATGAATTATTGACATTGAGAATGCTTGCGTGATTTCTATGCAAATATTCCAATAGATATAATTAAACATTGATGATAGATAGATAGATGGATAGATAGATAGACACAAACAACAAACTTTGAGCATATAACTGCCTATTAAATCCATAGGTAATAAACTTAGGATATTTCAGATACTAGGTAACAAAATTGTACGGATTTGTTTCCTGCGAGTTGAGGAGTTACATTCACCTTCATTATCAATGATTTCCTCATTTTGCAATGTTGAAAGCTTCACTTCTTCTTAATCATGAACTTTTCAGTATATGTTTAGAAAATCTAAGATAGGCCCTTCTTTCTATTCTTCTGATGTACCAACTTTAGCTGCTGCAAGTAAATGGGAATATTCGTCGTTGGAGTTGAGTTGCATTCACTCTCACTACTAATTTATTTTTTCTATTTGAACTGAATTCTTCTTAAAGTAGTGGTTAAAGTGATCTAAATTTACTTTGATTGGACACTAGTCAGTAACTAGTGTGTTGTGTCCAGTCCTTTCTTTGGTGCAGACTGAATTCTATCAGTCGGGTTTGCAATGTGGTCACCATTTCAGAAGGCTCAACATCATGGCATACATTGATTTGATGATATTAGATGGTTGAAGGCAATCGGCCAAAAGAAGCCTTTCCTGACCTAGGTTAGTGCTAGTTGGCAATCACCAGTCAGCAAGGTGTATCTCCAACCTTGAGGGAATTAATTCGTGTCCCTTTTAAGATTTGAACCCGCGTCTCCCAGTGCTGTGGTGAGAGACATGGACTCGAATCTATGAAGGGCCATGAGTCCCTTCAAGGTTGCAGATACGCCTTTCTGGCTGGTGATTGCCAACTAAAACGAAACCTGGATCCAAGGCTTCCTGCTGATTGCCTCCAACCATTTAATATAATCTAAATTTCTCTGTTTATAATCTTAGTACCTTAAATCTTGTTCCTAATGTCACCTCCTGACGATGATAATTTTTTCCCCTTCACGTTCCCAGTGGAACAAAGGGCTCCAAGCTATAGGCTTGAACATTCCGTAGCAGTGTTGATTTTTACAGGATGGGGTTGCTAACCTCATGCCCAACTTTCCCTCTTTACCAGTCTCACTACTGGATTAGCGAGGTAAAGGTGTGCGGAGCTCGAACCCCGGACCATGTGCATGGTCGGCGAGCGTCTTAACCGCTGTGCCACCGATGCAGGTGGCCTCGTGGTGTAGCGGTTAGCACTCTGGACTTTGAATCCAGCGACCCGAGTTCGTATCTCGGCGAGGCCTTCTCCATCCACTAGGGATGATAATAATAGTAGTCATAAGAAAATTTTTGTCTGGTGATTTCTTTGTTGGGAAGTTTTCTTAGAATGATTAACTATTACGAATTGGCTCTTTTAGATTCCCGTCATGTCCACCATCTTTGTGTGTGAAATAAAACACATTATAAAAATCAAGTATCTCATAAACTACTTATCTGTGTAATGCATCTCTGTTGATGCCTTTCTTATACTTTATATCTATGGAAAACTTCATCTATAGATCGCGTTAATGATATACATTGTAGTAAATAAAACGTTTATTGATCCATTGAAGTGAATTGAATATTGAACAGGTTTTTTGTTTGTTCTGTTCAAAGTCCATCAAAACGTTTTTACTCTTTAGATGTATACAGTGTCATTTCATTAAGGTAGTTCTTTCAAGTTTAAATAAGACTTAGCAAGTCTTAACTTTGTGAACTGAATCACTCTTTACAGATTTTATTGATGAGTATATGTTTCAACTTCGTGACTTGTTTATCTTCTCACGGTTGTTGGTACTTCCTGTTGTTAGTTAGGAGCAAAAAGATGAGTATCGAAATAGGTCTTGCTGAGAACTTTAGTGATTCTTTTGTTTCTATGATACTTAAATACAGCTTTCTTTCGATGTATCTTTAGGGAATTAAGTTCACTGAGTAGATAAGTTTTGATTTGTAATTTTTCTCTACTGTGGTTGTCTGTCTACTTGCAATCAATCTTCTGTCATTCGTAAAAATACTCTACAGACATATATCACTCCTTTGTTTTGTCAAAATTAAGTGTATGTAAACTCTTGGAAGTATCATAAGGGTGGTTTGAAGTGATCACTGTAGCTAAATCAACTATCCTGTCGACAGAAATTAACACATTTAATTGGTGGATGGTGACTAGCAGTGGAATCCAGGATACTCATTTCGTCCTATTCGGGACTCGTCATCTGGATGTACCTACATTCCACGCTGGCTGGCGATGTCCACACCGAGTCTTGAACCCAGTTCCCATAGTTTCAAACGCCAAAGCGTTATCCACTAGACCACTTGGGCCACGAGAGCCACCTCCTGTGCAACGGGTCATGTTAATTATTCAATTGAATTTTAGATTTTCCCGGTAATTGATTGGACTGAAGTGCTCAGTCTCAGGTTGACATGTCGGCTTCTTGTGCAGATGGTTCGATGATATCTGGGCATGCAATCAGAAGTGAATTGGTGGATGGTGACTGGCAGTGGAATCCAGGATGCGCATTTCGTCCTGGAAGAGTCCGAAATAGCACAGTTAAGAGCCATCTATTTTCTTTGAAAACAGTAACCTATGCAGTAATATATTCTTAACAATCTTTCCAATGAACGCGGCGACTAAAATTATTATTAAAATACCAGGGATTACTAGACAGCTGTTTCTTCCTAGTTTAGGACTTGTCAGTAGTACTCATTCGTCGGAGTTCGAACCCAAGCTCACCTTGCTACAAGAAGGTGCTAGATTCCGACCTCAGTGGGTGGTACTACTAAATTGTCCTAAAGTAGGACAAAACAGCTGTCCAGTACTCACTATTTCTCCAGTGGTGTTGTAAATGACGTCAGCTAGTGAAGAAACCTGTAACCAATCAAATCCCTGTAAACCAATACCTGAAAACTGCCATTACAGATGACGTTTTTATCAGAACGAGGTGAAACGTCATTATAAAATGACATTCATTGGAAGAACTGTTTAAACACTGAACGATGCTATTCTTCAGTTTCGTCCTACCTTGAAGCTCTTCAACGGCGTGAACTTTGTTGATTGCTTTGTGTCATTTTTATAGGTCCGTATATGAGAGAGTTATTTTCTGATAAAATAACTTTAAAATTATTGAATACTGCAGCAGAAACTATTCAGACAATGCCTAACCAAAAGTGTTTAATGCTCCGTTTGTGCTGTATAGATTTATAATTTATATTAGCAACATTTTCAATACCTCAGTTATGTGTATAACATTTTATTCCTGTTTCAGGCAACAAGATTCACAAGAATTCTTACGTTATGTATTAGAAGGTCTTCATATGGAGGTGAATCGTGTTCAAAAACGTCCTCATCCTATTAAACCAGATTATGAAGCTGAAGATCGTCTTCCGTAAGTAGTTTACTTAAAATTCATTTGTCTCATCTTTTTCTTTATACAAAATATGAATGTGAACAAAATTTAAAGCTATATCATGACAAATAAGGTGTTCATGCGAGATAAAACAGATTAAAAGGCTTCATTTTTGTGTATTTTAACTACTAGTTTTTGTAGGGATTTTTGTTTCATTGGTTGGAGGACTTTATCGTGAGCTGACATCAGCTAGAGAACCACTGAAAAATGCACCCACTGGAGTTCAAACCCAGGACCTTCTAGGCTCGAACCCCAGTGGGTGAGTACTACCGAAGAGTCCCGAACTAGGATGAAATAGCTGTCCAGTACTCCCAGGTTCTGTGTATTTTAATTGTACAACCTCTCTTAGTTTAGTAAGTGATAATAACTGTTTATCAGTGGAATCATTTCCTACTGCAGTTGATTGATGTACAGATATGACCAGATTACATCTACATTATATTAAAACCACTATTTGCATGTGTTCTACTTTTTGTGTTTCTTTTGTCTTCCCTTTCATATTTGTCACAAAGATCTTTTGTGTCTCTTCTTCACCGCTTAATCCATTTCTCTGTTACTCAATATTCTTGCAGAAAACATCACATGCTCAATATACTACTTACAAATGTTATCAGTAACACCCAGCTTAACCACATAGTCATGCACATCTAAGTGTGCTGATGAAAAAGAAATTGGTTGAAATTGTAATTTCATTAAAGAACGAAATGGTCAGTAGTGCATAGATATTCACATGGAAAAAGCTGTTAAACTGTGTTAGCCATTCACATACTAAAGCTACACCACATGATCCAAAAGTGTGATTTGTGAATCGAAAATTAGTTTGCCAAATGTGAATTCCATTCAGTATATTACTGATTCGCCCAAGTAGCTAGCCAGAATTCGGATGCTTATCCCAGAAAGTACTACTGATCGTCGCGTGTTGTGTCCGACTACTCATATAAATCAGTCAGTAGTATATAGCCTCAAGCAATTCCGTTTGTCATTTTCACAGTATCAAGTGAATAACATATTTTATGGTCTGGATAATTTTGCTTACCAAAGGGAACTTTGGTGAAATTTCACCTCGAACTATATAAACTGTGTAAATCTCGAATTCATTTGCAAATTTGATTGTCCTTAAGTGATTTAGTATAACAAGTACTAATAGTTGTAGTAGTAGTAGTAGTCTCGTGATTCTGAATGCCTTTGATCTTTAAAAATCAATTTTTAAGATTGTATAAAATGATGTCATGCACAGGTGACGATTTGTTTGGTAATATCTGCGTCTTCCAATGTCACATGTTTCTTTTTTTTTGCCTATGACGGTAACTTATTCTGGTTTATGAAATTTTAATAATAATATTAATAATAATCTACTTTATTCCAAAAACAGTACTTATAATACAGAATGGAATTCTCAGCATTTGTTACAATAGTTTTTTATAATGTGGAGAATGATAAGTTGTACTGTTATTCAGCTTATACTGAGATCTCTTTTTCTTTAAGACCGTTTCATGGATATAATCGTCGCGTCTAACTGTAGATATCATTTGACCTTGTATAGATACTAAACGGTATCTTGAACATTTTCTACTTAAAATGTTTGAATGACTCTACTGTTACATTGAAGGATCTTTATTTGAAGTCTCGCAGGCTTTAATAAGTCACTGAGGTTTCCTGCCTTCATTTATGTCTTCTTTTTTGGCTTGTTTTTACTTGATTTCTGATTTTACTGAATATGTTTCCGCTTTGTTGCAAAGTATGGTATTTTAAATCAGATTATTAAGTATGCGTGAGATATCGGTGTCTGTCTTTCAGTTTAAGTGTTGGTTTGCAGGGATTTGATTAGTTTCAAGGCTGATCACGAACTGAATTCAGTGTCAAAATCATTGAAAACCAGGGAGTTCTTGTTTGAAACTCTTCATCAGTACCCATCCGGGACCTTCAGGTTACAAGGAGAGCTCACTGACCGACCATTGAGTTACTGCGACGGAATACAATCGATCATGAATTCTAAATTCTTCCAGCTCACGATTTATAACACGATCACCAATCGTCTTCACACCCAACTTGATGGATCTCCCTGGTTACAGTTTCTCACTAAAACCTCAGGTAAATCAATCCTGTAGTCAGTCACTAGTGAACACCAGACTAATTTTCATTTGTTGGTTTGTAGGGATTTGATTCATAGTTGTGAAGTGTGACTGTACATCTAAGTGACAAACATAACTCTTAAATATGCAGAACTTCTATGTATATTGTTATAATTCCCTTAGGTTACAAGTGGAACATAGGGCTTCAACAACACATCTCCACTTTCTTCTATTCTCTGCTGTCCTCCTCAGCTGACTAGCCACACGACTGACCATAATCTCTAATCTCCTACTCCTCCTCCTCAACAGACGATCTCCTCCATGTCACCCTCGCACCGACCACCTACTCGTCGCTACCCATTGGAATTCCATCCGAGCAATGGCCTGCATTAAGCACGATGTCATTCAACAACCTCCTCAACGATTGTCCGATCTATCGATCTCCATTTTCTTCTACATATGTTTTGAGCTACCGGCTCCTGGTTGGTTTGTTGGTAACCAGAGTTTCTTACTGATAATTCTTTCTTGCTGGCCATTTTGATCATCAGTATGCAGCCAGCGAAGGTGGCAGCTGTTGATAAAAGCTCTCAGCCTGTTGGAAATCCTTTTCATCATAACACGCAGCGCAAGTTACTGACCCGTATTACTGATTTATTGTGCACGTGCGTAATTATGCTAGTAGTAACATGTCCTCTTAACTTTGATATTTATTCTTGGAGGTTTTATTATCACTTTTGGTGAAATCGTTAGCATTAATTTTAAGAAGGAGAAGAAGAGGAAGTAAGTCATATTTAAAAAAAAATACTGAGGTCGACTATCATAAGTCAATGAACATCAACTTAATGCTATATATAAGTTAAATATTCCAGATTTTCATGAAAATGGGGATTGAATACGTTTCCTTCATTGTGGTAATTTCTGATACTCATCAGTTATTTCAAGATTGGTGAAGAACTGACTTCATTTAGGGAAATATTAAAAACCACAGAGTAATGGATAGGTGATTGGTTTTAATTTGAGACTATTCAGCATTATTCACACCTAACTCCATCAGGGATCAAATCCAGGACCTTCAATTGTTACAAGGTGAGTTTGTTAGCCATTCAGGCAGAATAAAGTAACCTATAAACTTTAACTTCTGCCGATTTGCGGAATATGGCGTGACCAATAGAAAATGCCATCTCCGAGTGAGTAGCTATCCCCAGACCCAACTTGGCTATTATTTTTGAACATTCTGGAAGACTCCAGTTAGATGATCTATTTCTTCTTTAAACGGTAATGACTAACAATCAGTCCATTTGTGAATTAGTACAACATCTTTCTTCCATTACTTTCAGCTATATTCTGACCCAGAATTACGAATACAAAGGCGTTCGCGTAGATGTAGACAGTCTTATGTCTTCTTTGAGGCTAGTAATCTTATTGGTTGACTCATATACCCTTCTATAGGAAAATACACGTAACTAGAACACTCTTCAGTTTTTATTTCAAATACATGCTAGTAAGACTTCAAAAGGCGTTTATGCCCAAATGCTTGTGACTGACAGTTAACGGTTTGTTATGCTAGAACCGTAGTCTAAAGAAAGGAATGCGTATATTCCCAGTAGATGTGCACATATCTTGTCGGTAATACAGGTGGGATAAGTTATCAGATGTATCTCGAAAAACGGGTGAACAGATGAACCGATATTTCTACTACATCAATGTTTTATTCTTCCTACAAACAGATTTCACGTACTTAACTAATCTGACGTCCATAATCAGGATAGAATAGCTTCCGCTTATTTCTCTATCTCTCTTCAGACTACTTTAATCACACATTAGATAATAAACAGGAATCCTCTATCAGTAGCTATAAATTTACAATTGTAAGACAGAAAATAATTTAGAAGAAAGAGTGTGAATATTTATCAAGCCTTTTTGTTATGCTTACTAGGTAATTTGAGATGAATAATTATAATAGAGAGACCATTGAACTTATTTACAGACATTGTCGATTTATGAATTACATACAGCTGGTTTAATTTATATACATGAAATAAATTATAAGCAAAATTTTTTAAATATTTATGAACGCCTTGAGAAAACCTTCTTTCACAAAGCTAAGCTTTCTATTACTTAAATATATCTGGTATCAGGTTACTATCTCATTAAAACAACAGTATCAGTTAATTCCTGCATATTTTGCTAAGAGTTGTAAATGGACGACGGACATTGACTAAGATTTAAGTGTTGGTTTGTAGGGATATGATCGGTTACAGGATTTCATCATGAGCTGACATTGGTTAGAGAACCATTGGGAAACCTGCAGGGAGTACTGGACAGTTGTTTTGTCCTAGTCTGGGACCCTTCATCAGTGCGCACCCACAGGGGTTTGAACCCATGGCCCTCTGGTTACAAGGCTAGCGAGCTCGTAGACCATTAAGCCACTGGAACCCGATCCAATGGCCAACCCATGAATTCTAACTTCTGCCAATTCATGACATAGTGCGACCCCTAGCCAATGTCTTCGGCGAGTATTTGTCCTCACACCCGACCTGCTGCACCCTAAGATTGTCGAATCATAAGCATAAGTATTAATTATTTGGTTTGTTAGTTGGATCTCAGTACTTGGGACAAATTTCCCATGTACGAGGCTATAAGCCACATATTATTACCCAGTTGGCCAGGATGATGTAGGCGAGACGGGACTCGAAACTTGGAACCCACTGGATGGGAGTTGATTACTTAGGACAATGAGCAACATCTTCAAAACAGAAATTTAATACTGTTCACTCACAGTAGTTCCAAAAAGAAACGGTTATCAGAAAGGAGGACAACCTATTAGTTATCTTACTTTTTTGATGTGATTGTGTTCCCTGAACTGGATGGTTTAGTTGTTAAGCTTTCATTGTCATTTTAAACAAC